TTCATGTACAAATCTAGATATAGTATTACTGTTCGTTTTTGCTAATTCCTTCGAACTTATTAAAAACCCTTTTGTGACAATATCTTCATTCAAGACTCCTATAATCAAGTTGGCTATGTATCTCCCACGTGTGTCAGTTGTTTCATCTACAGTAAACCAGATATAATTATTTGCGGTAATTTTTTAAATTTACTGCATTGTTTTATCATAAACTGGGCTGACATCATTTTTACGAAGAGTGTTCTCATCTGGAATGCTTTTTTTACAATATTTTTCTAAAAATTGTCTGAACGAACTACTTTGTAATTTATTCAAAGGAATGTCTGATTGAACCATAGTACTGCACAAATCAAAATAAAATTGTTTTTGTTTATTAGAACGAGAATTTGAAGCTAGTGAAGTCAAAATAGTTTGTTGCTTATTTTGATTTTTCTCATATTTTTTTAATGTGCTCCTTATGCCGTTCCGTTTGTAAATGCTCAGTTACGTCGTATTTTTTGTTACAAACAATCTGCAATAAAATAAGAAAATATTACCTACTTCTATTTTAAAATTTATTAAAACCTATTTTTTTATATTGTATCTTAAAGTCCTTTAACTAATGTAAAAAAGGAAATCTCTTAAGAGTCAAAAAATTCAGAAAAATAAAATGATATTTTAAATAGGAAACAAAGACGAGACTAAGAATTTGCGAATTTTTACTTACAGTTTTAGAACACGCTTGACAAAAAATCTTTATATTGTCAATTTTTAGTTCTTTGTGACCCTTAATCCACTCTTCAATGGTTGGCTTTTATTTTGGCATTGTTTAAAGAATTACCACGTATAGCTAATTAAATCCAAGTACAGACACAATACAAACAAACTGGAGACCAGACCACCTCGTCGTAACGAATTAAATAAATAACAAAAGTCTTGGCATAGCGCAAGGCTAAACTTGGGGGAATTACTTACGTGCGAACGGATTTTTCGGGGAATCACGCGACGCCTTGCAAAGCAAAGTTGCCA